ATTAATATATGGTATTATTGATAGAAAATTCTTCAGTAATATTCGTATTTTTAAGAATTTTTAGGTATTTTTATCTGAAAAAGTACAGTAGTGCGGCTGTGAATTATTATATTTTTTGTTAATTAATTAATAATAATTATAATTTATAATTTATAATACACAATAATATACCTGTATAAAGGTTTATTAATTTTTAAAATGAACCAAAATGATATTTTATTTGAATTAAATGTGGGAAAGATAGATTGGCTTGCAATTCATCATTATGATTGTGGGACTTCAAGTGAAAGGTCAATGGAAAAGGTCAATGTGAAAGGTCAAAAACTAATTTCTGCTATTATGCAATCGTATTTTGAAAATAATTTGAATGGATATTTAAAAAATGTCAACTACATCATAAAAATTGTAAATATAATTTTAATATGTTCGGGTGAGTAAATAGCAAATGATTAAAGAATTTGTGTTTGTTACAATTGGAGTTATATATAATTTTCATTAAACTACAGTAATCCAGCATATTTATACATCTTAAAAAATATGTTGCGGAAAAGCAATTACGGAGTTAATGTAAATAAACTAGGTCATACTGTATTTAATTTTAAAACGCGTTTGCAATTCACAAGTTAGCATTAAGTTAAGAAAAATATATGTAAAGCTTGATCATTTTTAGAGCCATATTAAAAATGGTTTATTTTATATCAAGTCACAAGCGTTTCTAACAACTCATAAAATATTAACCGGTGTAATTTTACAATATTTGGAAATATTGAGATTAAATGTTGCAAACATTATATTTAAAAATCAATCAAAAATAAGAGATATAATAAGCAAATGGATTGTATGTAATTACCCGATAAGTACACAATTCATGAATAGTGATACGATTAACAAAACTCTCATTCCAGGCCTCAATAGTTAATATTCTGTTCCTTCGGTCTAAAGTATTCCTTTGTATAAAGTATACGAAATCGACTCCAGATATCTGTCAATATAGCAAACAATTAATTAATGTTTCCAATAATAAGTATGACATTTAAATGCCATTTACGCTGTCCCTCCCTTTCCAACATCTTTTATTAATAACACATAAAAATAAAATAAGTTTTCTAATCATTTAAAAAAATATAATTAAAACTAAAAATTAACTGAAAGTTGAATACAAAAGTGTGATTTACTTGAAATACTTATAAAATATAATTACGACATATTCATAGAAAATTGCTAAGTTATGGTCAACTGTGATAAAGAAATACACGTTTAAAAGGATAATTAAGAAATCAATAATACTTTTATGGTAACAACATTATAACTCTTATGCCATTCGTTTTAATCGATTTATTATTTCATATAATAGCAAACCAACATCATATTGACTGCATATTTCATGAATAATAATAAATTTCATTGAATTGCATAAATATAAAAAAATGTCAAAAAGTATTGCGTCTGAATAATATAATAGGCTATTTTAATAGCTATAAATTGTAAACATTTATGTCTTAAACAATGATTTACTAATTAAAAATTAAATTAAAAATTTAAACTACACTCATTTAATTAATTGTTGAATATTTTTCTATTATTTTAACTAATAATTCAAAATAAATTTGTTATCAATTTGCTGTACAATAAATGAATTGACCTCAAAATATGTTCACATTGTGTAAAACACATTTTGTAAATTTATAATTAAACGTTTTATGATAGAATATACATACAGTATAGAAATCATTGAATATACTTTGAAAGTGGCCACAAAATATAAATTTTTGAATGTAATAATAAAATTTAATACTACGGTAATACAGTACTACAGTAAATTCATATAAAATAATTCAAGATTGGCTTTAAATGAGCTAAATTTGACTTAAGATAACTGTTTGTCGTAGAAACGAGTGTAGAAGTAAGCCTACTATTAATATCACATAATGATAATTATTATATTAATTAATTGTTTTATAAACATAAACTTTTGATTTTAAATATAAATATAATAACTACGGCAATGAACAAGTACAGTATTTAAATTATCATTTTCTTATCAAAAAACTTGATAAACATATGATTCGTAAGAATTCAATGAACTCAAGAATTTGAGAGATTATGAAGGAATCAAATCAATAGTATTCGCAAATCTTAACAAAAAAACGTGAATCTCATTACGAAACTCAAGGCTTTAATGAGAAGATGAGTTCAAAAAGTATTAAACGATAAAATAAAGCGACGTTTGAAAATAGAAATGAAAATAAAAATAAACAATTGGTGACTACGAGGGTGTGTTGTTCAGTGGTGTATGAATGCCTACCTTCTTGAGGAGGTAGGGCGCCTCCACATTGATACGACACTTGCGTTCAATCACGTGAACCACTCCGTCGTCGCTCTCGGAGATGGTGTCGGAGCCGACGAACACCGGAATCATTTCACACGTCGGGAACCGTCTCTCGTAGGCCTTCAATGGATTGCATAACCATTAGACATAAGTTAATATAATTGGCATTGAAATGAATAAGTGATGCATTCATATGAATTAATTGTAACATTAAATGAATTGAAAGGATATGAGAGTAACATATGTTGCAAATGTAAGGGTTGTCTCAAATGGACGGACACTTACGGCTATAACCAATTCAAACGGATATTTATAGACTCTGAGGGGTGACTGATATTTTTGGACCATTTTTAGCCACAAATCAATTGATTGAATCGATTTACAATGTCTTCTATATATAGTATAACTTATTATATATTATATAACATATGCAGTAAAATGTCAATTATTTTACAAAATATAATTTTTAAATCAATTAATTGAACACAAAATCAAAGGCAAAAATGAGGCAATTATTCAATAATTGATTATAATTATTGAGAAATTATATGATTTTCTCATAAAATATAAATAAAATATAGATTTCGTTGAAACAGTGATTGAGACGACAATCGGATATAATATTATAATTATTAAAACAATTAATTTAATGAATGAATGAATGAAATGGCACTCAATTTGAGTATATGTTTGAATGGATGTGGAAATAGACACACATTTTCACTAATAATTAATTATTTTGTCACTAAATTTACACTATATTATAGTATATGCCAATAAATGTGCGATTAATGAATGAGATTCACTATTAACACAATCATTTCAATTACATACCATTACTGCTATTATTATACAAATCAAATAAAAACTATTATTTTCTTAAAAACATAATTCAATTGAATTTCAGTTACGAATCACTTGTGTATCAAATGTATTGAAACTACAAAAATGTTGTCTAATAAATAGAAAATTAAATTATTTAATTATTATTGNACGACGGAGTGGTTCACGTGATTGAACGCAAGTGTCGTATCAATGTGGAGGCGCCCTACCTCCTCAAGAAGGTAGGCATTCATACACCACTGAACAACACACCCTCGTAGTCACCAATTGTTTATTTTTATTTTCATTTCTATTTTCAAACGTCGCTTTATTTTATCGTTTAATACTTTTTGAACTCATCTTCTCATTAAAGCCTTGAGTTTCGTAATGAGATTCACGTTTTTTTGTTAAGATTTGCGAATACTATTGATTTGATTCCTTCATAATCTCTCAAATTCTTGAGTTCATTGAATTCTTACGAATCATATGTTTATCAAGTTTTTTGATAAGAAAATGATAATTTAATTACTTGTTCATTGCCGTAGTTATTATATTTATATTTAAAATCAAAAGTTTCTGTTTATAAAACAATTAATTAATATAATAATTATCATTATGTGATATTAATAGTAGGCTTACTTCTACACTCGTTTCTACGACAAACAGTTATCTTAAGTCAAACTTAAAGCCAATCTTGAATTATTTTATATGAATTTACTGTAGTACTGTATTAGTATTAAATTTTATTATTACATTCAAATATTTATATTTTGTGGCCACTTTCGAAGTATATTCAATGATTTCTATACTGTATGTATATTCTATCATAAAACGTTTAATTATAAATTTACAAAATGTGTTTTACACAATGTGAACATATTTTGAGGTCAATTCA